GTTCTTCAATATTTCATCGTCAATTAGGTGACTGGCTACAGCCGAAATTCTACCACGTTTTTCACCCATGATCGATGAAGAACGAGATGCAAATGAAATAAAGATATCAATATACAAGTATACAAAAAAATAGAATGGTATTTGATTAATAAAATCTATATTTGATTTAAAAATAAAATAACAAATAACATGTTTGTATAATTTCCAAAGGTACCTAATAATAGAAATATAATCGGCACTCATGTTTCAATTGTTGCAGAAATATAAAAATAGAGTTGTCGTCTATAATGATCGATAATGACAGCGGAAAAATTGACTTTTCTTTTGGAAATATTTAGGTACAAATTCTTAAAATGGTTTTACAATACGGTACAAATTATAGTACAATTAATGGAAAAAATATTTTTTAACAAAACGCATTATTCAGTTATGGTGGTGCTGGGGTAACGTTACCCTGGCACCCCATCTGGAAAATTTGACTTTTCTTTTGGAAATATTTAGGTACAAATTCTTAAATTGTTGGTACAAATTGGTACCAATTATAGTACAATTAATGGTTAAAAAAAAAAAAAAATTCCAACATGGGGGTGCCAGGGTTACCCACCTTAAGCTACGCCCTTATTAGTGTGGTATACATCCCTCATAATGCGAACCTGTCACTTTATGATAATTATGCTAAGTCAGTTGAACTATTCTGGGAATCAACAAATTGTGATAATATAGGTATATTTTGTGGTGATTTTAACTTACTTAGGAGTATCTTTAAAATTCTTTTTATCAAATTTATTTATGTTACTTATTAATCCCGATCGCTCTATGATAATATTCGGTTGTTTTTTCATAATCCATTGCGTTTAAAACTGCCTCTTCAAACATTTAAATGCTGCGCACTTTTAGTATTATTCCGGCGGACTGAGAAATTCCCTCTATAATAAGTATATACATTATACGATATTAGTTTAAATATAAATATATTATAACTCACCTATAAGAACACATAATTTAGCAAAAACAGAAGCAGTGGTAATATTTTTATACCGATAATATAAGTGACGTTATTAAATTAATATTCTGCAGTTCATGAAATAATACAGAGTGAGTAGGTACAAGGTCAGAGGGGGGTTCATGGAGTCCGATTATTTATTTTTTGTACTCGTATACCTAATAATTAATTATATGTTATGGAACATTTGAATGATACTGTTAGCACACACATAAATCGGTCTAATACCAAATTGGAAATGATGACCTTTTAACAGGGCTGACTCTTTTATCCGTTTATTGGGAAATATCAGTTTCACCAAAAGACTTGTTGAATATAATGGCAAAATCATAAAGAAAATTATTATTATAAATTATAATTTTATTATATCTATGTTATATTTATAACTAAATTTTTTATTTTTTTTATTCATACGATATTTATAATTATTACTTTATAATTACACATTTCACCTATTGAATAGCAAAAATATATTTTTATATTATTTTTTTTTTTTTTACAACTTATACATACTATAGCATATTCTGTACGTCATAACGAATATAATTTTTGCTTAATTAATAAATATGGTTTAAATTACGTATTATTTGTTATTATTTTTTCAACACGACACACCTAGGTAGTCCCCACTTGACCCCTAAATAAAGAATTCCCATGATCATGGACTGTGAACATGTTGCACCAACAATAAACATACCGAGATTAACGCCCCTGAAAAAACTTCTAATCACTATCTATAGTACCTTTGATTAACATAACATTAGAGTAAGTATTGATTTATGAGTGCCACAGAGGTAATAACAAATATTAAAAATAATTATAATTAAAAAACACATACCTATGATGTATCGTACTCGTGATCTCTCTTATTCGCATTTTATTTGTATCCAAGTGTATGGGCTTAATTACTATTTCATATACTGTTGAACCGTCTGGGTTATTGGTTCGGAATAAAAGCTCAAATGTTCTTACATTGATAGAAATAGCACGTATTATTGTGTTGTTGATATGAACTCACATATATTTTGATCAATGTGATCCAGAATTTCATATACTGCAAATTATAAATATTGTTCAATTTTGGAATACCATTATCGCAGCCAGACTATCGACAATATTGATAATCAAGTACCTACATATATATTTATTATGTTTTAAAAAATATGAATTAATTTAGGACATAGGTACAATTTATTTATTTGTATTCAATTCACTTACATCAGTGGCATAATAAGAATTACCTATTAAATAAAAAAAAAAGCTGTTAAATAAATTAACTATAACTGTATTTATAATTAATATTGGTTCATAATATTATAACAGCCACTTTTTTTTATTTAGTATCTTAATAACATTTGAATAACCTCTAATATTTTCTAAAAAAAAATAGTTTAAAATTAGATAGATAGTTTAGAGTGATATTGGAAAAAACATCTATAGACTATAAAACAATACTTGTACAATTGATTTTAAATTTCTTCTTGATTACAATAATGATTCTAATACTGTTTACATTCAAATAAGAGCTACTTTCTGACCTTTATTGTAAAAAAAAAAAAATTCACTGCTAAGAATATTAATGTTGAATCATATTAATGTTTATTAGGTACTTTATTATAATTATCATAAAGGTATTATAATAGCATAGTTTTTATTAACTAGTATTCTGTAGTATTATTACAATATACTTATTACCTATTAATAGCTATTATCTATACGTACACTAAATTATATGTATATATATATTATGTATATATTTTTACAATAATCGGGGTAGTTACTCAAATTAAATACCTGAAGTGTGAGATATTATCATAATAATTTGTAACATTAATATTATTCATAATTAATTTTAGTTTTTAGATTTATTAATGGAATTGTCTGTAAAAAAAAATATTCTTCTATCTGACAAAAAAAAAAATACGCATATCGGACCAATCTACGAGGCTTGAGAGTTCTTCCTGTAAAGTGTGCTTTGATCGATATAATACACCCTATCAACCCCCTCCCCCCCTAGATATGTATCGGGTAGAAGATTAGTGGAAAAGTATTATCATTGAGGTGGTAACTAAAATATAAAATTTAATTTTCAAATTTTATAAAATTTGAAAAATTGCAACCATTACCCTTAATTCAAATTATTGTACTCTATGGTAAATTAATTGAAATAACTAAGATTATTACTACTCCATTTTTTTTTTTTTTTTTGAATGCATTAACATCTTCAATAAAATATTATTTCATAGTTACGAGATCAGGCCCTTCTGGAAATAAATAACCACAGTACAATATTATTCTACTAGGTAAATTGTTATGATATTTATATTCAATGTTGTTTTATTTGCAGTTCAATTTTTATATGTTAATGTATTTTGATGTAATTACATATTTATGTATTTTATTTTATTTTATTTTATACATTTTATAATAATCTTATAATTAATGAGCTGTTTTCCTATGTAGGCAGAATAATATTTTTATATAATCCAAAATTAATTAGGTTTTTATATACTATAAGAATCTGCTTTTTAAGTGTATTTATTATTTTATTTAAATTACTAGTGTCATGGAGTAACAACTAAAACAATATTTAAGAATTATTTTTACAGAGATTTAAAATGATATCATATCCAAGATTGCATGGAATTTCAAATTTACACTTTTATATAAAACGAAAGGTAAAAATTATATAATTTATTTCTATTTTTACAATAGAAAAAGAAGAGATATATTACTATTTAGTTCCTAATTATATTGTTTATTCTTCAGATCAAAATGTTTATGAATGAAATATCGGGTCGAACACGATTGCGTACGCTGCTTATCGACGGTACCTTTTTCATAACACGATTGCGTACGTTATTTTTGTGCAACGTTGTCATGCTAGCCGGAAGTCACATATAGACGAAACTGGAAATATCAAATGATTATCGTGATTATCGTGAAATAAAAGTTCACACTACTTATAACCGCTGTACTGCTGTAGATTTTATTAGTTGAGTGACGAACGTTCTGAGAGTAGCAATAGTAGCATAAAAGTATAGTATAAAGTGTAGTATAATATTGTGTTATATAAATGGAAAATGAAACAATAAAAATAATTACGTCGGATTGTCGGAACGCGGAAAAAACTTGACATTAGTTGGTACAGACAAATATCGTTTTATAAGACAACGAAAAGACGGGCAAGTTAAATGGTTGTGCACAAACAGGACATGTTATGCCAGTATATTGTTAGACAGTGGCCGTTCAAAAGTATTGTCAATGTTGGGTGAGCACAGACATATTTTAAATACAATGGAGAAAATCGAACACCAAATTTTACGAGAAAATTGTAAACGTAAAGCAGATGACTCAATTTTAATTAGACCATCAAAAAATATCAGATCTGAGCTGATGGCAACAGATTTTGAAGTGCCACATTCATATATAAAATCGATAAGAAAACCCATGTACGATAAAAGACTAAACTTAACTAGGTTTAATTTTGTCAATACTTTTCAGTTAAAATTGACGGCAGTAACGAGGCCCATTAATTGCCGTTGCATAAAATATAATATCACAACCAGACAAACCTACCTGCCCTTGCTTAGTGATTGATGGTTCATTACAGCTTTCATAAAGTGTTTTCTCCGGTAACCCTCTACGTAATCCTAAATTGTATATAATTGCCATTGTTTAAATTAATAGTTCGGTACATATTCTCTACTTTAATATGCTGATGAATTAATAGTTTTGGACGAAGTAGACAATATTTAATTAAAAACGTTTTTAATAAATTAAAATTACTTACTATATGTTCTACAACGAGTACCTAACAATTTACCAAATAGTAATTTATTTGTTTTGCATATGACAATCGGCTAGTAAATAAATAAATAATGATGTTTGGCATTGATTTGACTGACATTATTATTTTATTGCTAAAAATATTTACGGTTTAAATAGGAACTATAATTTACACTTTAATTTCAGTTTTGGTACAAACTTTATCAAAATGACCACTAATTTTCACATAACCGTAAAACCCATTTTATTTGTATCCAAGTGTATGGGCTTAATTGATATTTCATATACTGTTGAACCGTCTGGGTTTTTGGTTCGGAATAAAAACTCAAATGTTCTTAAGTTACTAGAAATAGCACGTATTATTGTGTTGTTGATATGCACTCGCATATATTTTAATCAATATGAGCCAGAAATTCATATATTGCAAATTATAAATATTGTTCAATTTTGGAATACCATTATCGCAGCCAGACTATCGACAATATTGATAATCAAGTAAATACCTATATATTTATTATGTTTTAAAAAATATAAATTAGTCTATTACATAGGTACAATTTATTTCTTTGTATTAATTTAACTTACCAGTGATATAATGAGAAATTCATTAATACATTGATAATCTTAATAATAGCTCTCAGTTGAATCAAGTCTATAGTTCATACTAAATAAGGAACTGTATCAATTCCTTTATAGACTCCTCAAAAGCCCATTTATCGAGTTTATTTTATAAAATGTTTATGGAATTTATACGTTTATTAAAATATGCCACTTTCTGTTTTGTTTTTTTTTTTTTTAAGACTATTTAGAAATCTATACTTGTATTTCTTATAAAACCAATATTATACATACGTAATATTGTAAAAAAAAATTCCTTCACTGCTAAGAACATGAATGTTGAATCATAATAATGTTTAATACTTTAATATTATATCAAAATGGTATAATAGCATAATTTTTGAACTAGTATTCAATAGTAATAAACGAAAATAAGATATTATACTTACCCATTACATATAACTACAATAGCACGTATTATTGTGTTGTTGTTATGCACTCAAATATCGTGCCTATCATGTGCCATGATAAAATAAATTAGGAACTGTATCAATTCCTTCATTGACTCCTCAGTAATGTTTTCATTAATCCCATATATCGAGTTTATTTTATAAAATAATTATGGAATTTATACGTTTATTAAAATATGCCACTATCTGTTTTTTTTTTTTTTTTTTTTAAGACCATTTAGAAATCTATACTTGTAAGTTGTATTTCTTCAAAAAAATACTTTAAAACTACAAAAGGAAATATTATATTGCATTTTATTTATCTGATTTGGCATAAACCTAAATATTAATAAATGCTTCTCAATGTGTTTATACATATCTCATGAGTAATTGGAATTATAAATTATACGTATTCCATTAATAATCTATTATAATTTAATTAATATCACCCATCAAGGCTTTTTTTTCTTATTTTCTCCAATTATATAAAATCACAAGATATAGTGTATTATAATGACCCATCATAAAATATATAGTTACCAGAATCCTACCTCTAAACTGAATATTAAAGTATTTTGTCTTTTTCAAAATATGTATTTATAAAACAAATATTGTACATACGTAATATTGTAAAAAAAATTCCTTCACTGCTAAGAACATGAAGGTTGAATCATAATAATGTTTAATACTTTAATATTATATCATAAAGGTATAATAGCATCATTTTTGAACTAGTATTCAATATTAATAAACGAAAATAAGATATTATACTTACCTATTACATATAGCTACACTAAGTTCGATAAATATGCACGATAAATATTTTTACAATAATCAGGGCAGTTACTCAAATTAAATACATGAAGTGTGAGATATTATCATAATATTTAATTGTAACATTAATATTATTCATAATTATTTTTATTTTTAGATTTATTAATGGAATTGTCGAGTTTGATCAAACAATTACACCACTTTCAACAAATATGTTGATCCCTCAACGTACATGGACAAAAAAACATTGGAATACAATTCTTATTTCGTTGTTCACATACTTTATTGGTTTTAAATTTTTACAAATATATTTTAATTCGTTTAAAATAGGAAACATTGCGTTGAGGATACAACATTTAATATTCACTGTACCATTTATTATGGATTATGTAATTACGATATCTTCGTGTTTCTTTCTTCAAAATATGTATGCCAGATTCCAGACGTTAAACGATATATGGAAATGTCTACCTGCCGACTTAGTCCCCATCTCCGACCAATGGACACACATCGAAATTGTGGTTTTTATGGAAAACACACGACTGCTACACGCTGAACTCTGTGATTTGTTAAAAATGTTTACTCTAGGTTACGGTAGAATGCTTTTGGGTTTATTCATATTCAGCTTTATCAATATGCTTTTCAGTATTTATATAATTATCAACAATAGAGCATTATCCGGTTCTTATTCAACCAACAATTATTCACGAATATTACCATTGATGTTCAATGTACAAATCATCACGTTTCTGATGTCTATTATCATTTTCGCTTCATTTATAAACGAGAAGGTAGGCAACTCAAAGATAATTAAGATTGCAATAAAAAAATAATCATTTGCATATATTCAAACAAAACCATGAAAACTGTGGACTTAAAATAACATCAATTTTATATTTAATGTTCATTAATATACTATATAGTAGGTAGGTACATTAATATAAATAACTAAGATTATTACTACTTCAAGTTTTTCCAATTTAGATGTATTAACATCTTAAATAAAATATTATTTCATAGTTACGAGATGAGGCCCTTCTGGAAATAAATAACCACAGTACAATATTATTCTACTAGGTATATTGTTATGATATTTATATTTAATTTTATTTGTAGTTCAATTTTTATATGTTTATGTATTTTGATGTAGTTACATATTTATGTATTTTGTTTTATTTAAACATTATATAATAATCGTATAAATGAGTTTTTCTATGTATGCAGAATAATATTTTAATATAATACACAATTAATTAGGTTCGTATAATAATTATAGTATAACAATCTGCTTTTCCAGTATATATTTTTTATTTTATTTAAACAACTATTGCCATGCATTAACAACAAAAACCATATTTTAAAATTATTTTAACAGAGATTGAAAATTATATCATATCTAAGATTATATAGAATTTCAAATTTACACTTTGACATAAAACGACAGGTAAAAATGATATAATTTATTTATATATTTTGTACAATAGAGATATATGATTATTTATTTCCTAATTATATATTGTTTATTGTTCAGATCAAAATGTTTATAAATCAAATATCAGTTTGTGATTCGGACCGAATTTCGGCATTTGGGTTTTTTGAAATCAATTTAAATCTCGTTACATCTGTAAGTAATCGTTTTTTTTTTTGTTCACCTTTAATAATATCAGAACTGTATGATTCTATTTCGTTTGATTTATTCTTTTGTATATTAAATCCACTGGTTCTTAATCGTTTTATCTTCACAGAATATTGACGATAACAATATATTTTGACCTATACTTGTTCACATTGGAACACTAATCGAGAATAGAGATTTAGTGGTCATATCATTAGTCTATTAAGTAAAAAAAAAACAAAAATGTCTAGAGTTCTAAAATATGTGTATTACATTTTGGGGATTCTAAGAGTCTGTTACAGAATATACTTAGTTTATAATTTGTTTTGTTTGTTTACAGATACTGGTATTATTGATTAGTGGAATAATCACATTAATACAGATGAAAGATCACCCAATGATATTGAAATTAAATAATGATACTTATTCTTTTTTTGCAAATTTTACGTCTAAGAAAATTTAATTAAGTAAATAGTATATATATGTTTATTTCAATAGTAACAACGGACAGCTGAATAACCTTGACTTTTTCTATAAATATCAGTATCAACATTTTCTACACATGTTATAATTTTTTTTTTATTTTTTGACTCTTTTTGAGCGAGGTATTAATTATACACTTTTTATTTTTTTGTATTTTTTATTCATTAGTTAAAGAGTTTAAACATTTAATGCATAGTTCTTCACGAGTTTTTGTAGTAGTTATTAAAACATAAAAAAAAATAAAGTCACAATATTTTCAAATTGTTTTAAATTGTGTTATACTCATTTTCATACTTATACACATCCTCAAAGTCCAAATATCAGTTTTTCACGGGGGTGCTAATAGACTGATACTCTAGACCAAAAATGTTCAATCAATTGATATTTTGCCAAGTTCAGATCTTGCACATCTCTCAGAATTGCATAATAGTTTTTAATGAGTTTTATTGTTATTTTCCTAGTTCAGAATCTCTGTAAGCAATATAGTTATGATTTATTTTGTGGATTTTTCATCCGCAGAGTGTGGTGTATCAATAGAAACGTAGCTTGGATTCGTAGAGTCTTGGTAGCAGGTACTTATGTGGTAATGCTGTAACTACAACTTGTTTTTTCTTTCCGGAGGTCCATGATAGTTCCTAGAAGACCAAACAGTGGTTTAGGATAGTATATTCAAATTCCCCTGTAAACAATTTAAGTGTCATTGTGAGAGCAAACTGATATAATGGATAACTCATGTAGTCAGATAGTCTATAAAACCACCTGAGATGGACAATTAAAACAAGTGACTGAATAAAAAATAACTCAATTTAATAGAGATAAAATAGACCTAAACCTATCATACTACAACAAAAACACTACCGTTGCATAAATATAATATCACAACCAGTCAACCAGACTAACCTACCTGCCCTTGCTTAGTGATTGGTTCATTACAGCTTTCATAATGTGTTTTCTCCTGTAACAATCCACGTATTTCTACATTTTATATAATAGGATTTGTTTATGTTAATAGTTCGGTACATATTCTCTACCTGTTATATACTGATGATTTAATCGTTTTCTACGAAATAGACAATATTTCATTAAAAATATTTTTAATAAATTTAAATTACTTGTTGTATGCTATCCAACGAGTACCTAACAATTTAGGTACCAATAAATAATTTATTAGTTTTGCATATGACAATCAGCTAGTAAATAAATAAATAATGATGTTTGCCATTAATTTGACTGACGTTATTATTTTATTGCTAAAAATATTTACGGTTTAAATAGGAGCTAAGTTTACATTTTAATTTCAGTTTTGGTACAGACTTTATCAAACTGGCCACTGATTTACATAACTTTAAAACCCATTTTATTTGGGCGCGATACGATTGCTCGCGGTCCTTATCAGCGGTACCTTTTTAAGCGTACGATTGCGCGCGCTATATTATTTTAACTTTTAAGCAACGTTGCCAAATATATAGGTCCATGGTAAATCCGTAGGATACCATAGTAAATTATAGTAGATTATTTATTACTTATTTTTGCCGATATTAGACAAACTTCCCATCACTAAAGAATGAATTGGTTATATTATCAAAAATATTATCTTTATTGTAAATGTCCATACATGTACGAATATACCTATACTATAATCGTGCATGATGTGACTATATCAATTAACTATCAGTTGTGTTCGGTTCTAATAATAGTTTTAAAAAAAAAATGTGTTAACTATAATATTATATTATTTATTTTTAGGACTACAAACGGGGCTGAAAGTTTCCATAGTACATATAATGCACAGTTTAATAGTGCTCATCCACCAATATTTGTCATTATAGCTACCCTTATGGAACCTCAGGCAGAAACAGTTACCAAATTATTAACCATTTCCAAAGGTATAATAAAACCAAAATCGAATGAAGAATCAAGGAAAATTGAAAATTTGAAAAATGAACACAAACATTATGTAAACAATAAAACACCAAAAAAATTTACTAAAGTATTTGGCCATAGTTGGAAATAGGTATCGGGGGTTTAAAATTTAATATAAATATTGATTTACGAGTATTATATTTTTTCAATTATTAAATTCCTTTATTTTGTATTATTTTTTTTTTAACTTTTTTTATTTTTTATTATTTACGTTAATTTTTTAATTTTTTTTTAAATAACATTTTTTTTATATTATTAACTTTTTGTATTTTTATTATTTACGTAATACATTTGGCAACGTCGCACCCAATTTGACGCGCAATCGTACGCCTTTGAGTAATTAAAATGTTGTCTTTTGTTATTCGGGCACTGCGCGCAATCGTATACCTAAAAAGGTAAAACGCGCGCAATCGTACTCCGCCGTTTTATTTGTATCCAAGTGTATGGCCTTAATTGATATTTCGTATACCGTTGAACCGTCTAGATTATTGGTTCGGAATAAAAACTCAAATGTTCTTAAATTACTAGAAATAGCACTTATTATTGTGTTGTTGATATATGCACTTACATATATTTTAATCAATACGTTACAGAACTGCAACTACTTCAAATTATAAATATTATTCAATTTTGGATTATCATTATCGTAGCCAAACTATCAACAATATGGATAATCAAGCATTTATTTGTTATGTTTTGAATAATATGAATTAATTTAGAACATAGGTACAATTTATTTATTTTTATTGAATTCACTTACCGTTAATAAGAATTATTAAATAAAATAAAAAAAGATGGTTAGTGGATATCGCTCTGCCGTACAGTAGGTTGAAAGTGGATCGATGTATGATGGATTTTATTAAACTTGAATTCAATGATATAATATGACTGTATAAGAAAAACGATTCTGAGCGGGGACGGTTTGTCAGGCTGGATATTTTATATCGTTATTATTTATTATGGCCTGTAAGTTGAATTGATATTATAATATTATATATTTTTATTCGTTTCAATGGTGATAAACAAAGCGTTAGAAATTAAAATACCATTTTTTGTAATTTGTCGGTAATTTTTCTCGTCCCATTAAATAACTATTGAGAAAATCGACCTCTCTAAGTACCATCTTGATCCAATTTTCTAAAAGATAAGGTACTATATATTGAAATCAAACCTTCTGGTAGACATTTTGTATACACTGTATTTTATATATGTATATTTTATACTATACAGGATAAAAAAAAAAAATTAACACCATTGTAAAACCAATAGTTTTCTCGGTCGGCTCAGAATCTAAAAATATATCATTATCCGTTGTACCTATTGATTTTAATTAACAAATAATTAAGTTTAATAATATTTTTAGAATACCAAAGAAACCATTCATGTATATAGAATGAAAAGATTTTAAATTATTTATTCAAACGTAATTTTTAACAGATATTATTTTAGAATTAAAAGGCGCATCTTAAAAGCATTGATTATTATACGATCATTATCGATGGTTTTTTTAAAAAAAAAAGTAAAATGTTCTAAATCTCCAAATGTTATCATAATTATTACATTGTTTTGTGTTAGAAGGTTGGGAGAAATGAGAAAGAATTATTCTGAAAAGGATTTAGCTAAAAATTATACAAATAATAGTACTAACTTAATACTTTTTTTTTATTTTTGGATGAAAAGGTTCTAATTCTAGAACTTTTTCATACTTGACAATTTATAATTTTATTTTATTTATTTGTATACTAACAAGTATAGCAAGTTATTAAACTTATTATTATAGTATTTTGAATTAAGCTATGCAAGTTGCTATATGCTTGAGAACTTTAATAATAAAAATGGTGCTCTGCTGTACAGTAGGTTACAAGTGGGTCACTGTATAATGGATGGTATTGAATTTGAATTCAATGATATAATATCATTATATAAGAAAAACGATTCAGAGTGGAGACGGTATGTCAGTCTAGGTATAAGATATTATATACTTATCTATGGTACCTATAATAATTCCAAATTAATCATATCACAATATCCATTAGGTACTTAGCTGCCTGACCGTCTTCGCTCAGAATTGTTTTTTTTTATACAATGATATTACATGATTGAATTCAAATCGAACACCATCCATTACAGTGACCCTCCTTGTAACCTACTGTATATCAGATCGACACCCACTTGCCCACCTTTTTCAATCATGTTTTTAAATTTGCTGTACATTTATTAAGAAAGTCTGCATTTATATTCTTAAAATATCGAAATATGCATCTAAAATAAAGACCATATAATATGATAAATAAAAACAGTATTTTTTGGTTCAGTAGAATACGATTCAAATTTGTATCTAGGTTAGCATTAAAATTAATAAATAGAAAAAAATATTCAATTTCATAACTATTTGATTCCTAATAATTACTATAGGAAAATGTAATTAGGTGCTAATTATTAAACATTTAGTTTACAGTCGGCAGATTTATCGTTGAAAGTCGGCAATACTCAACCCAAACCCCTCTAAAAATAAATCCAAGGATCACCCCCGTATAATATTATGTACGAGGTTATGGTTGAAATGGCCGTTGTTGTTTTCTATTGGTGTAATGGAAAAGGTGCTTTTGTTACAACTGTAACGATTGTCGTCATCGACATCGTACATTACTCCCTACGTTGAGCATGACTATATTATGCTGAGTAGAGTTTTCCACTCGTCGTGTTAATGACCGACCGACAGGGTTGGGCCGTATCTTCGATACAAGTATCTAAGATACGTATCTTAGATACATTTGTATCTTGTATCTTATATCTCGATACAATTATGTGAAGTATCGAGTATCTTGTATCGCGATACATTTTTAGTCAATGTATCGTGTTGCCACCGCAACATAATAATATTATTTTTATGTCTTAATTATCACTGCATAAGGAGGAACAGCTGGTCTCACACACACACATATCACTTTATTTGTATTGTTTTATTTTTGTATTGAATGTGTCTTGTGAGTTATATAATATGTAGATTAAACGTTATCGCACGCCGCCGCGCCGTCTATGCAAATATTATTGAAC